TCATTGTGTCTTCTTATCCTAACATTGTATCTCAGCACATAAGAAATCATTTCTGATGCAATAGACTCTTGTGAAAGAAGGTTAAAAACCAGAGAGAATTGTTCTGCTGTCTTTCTGCAATTCATATTCTTTGCCATAAAACGGTAATTTGCATTGACAGTGCTTCAGAACTAAACCTTTCTAGTTTTGTTTTCTATGTAGTCCAAGGGCACAGCAGTATTTTGAAAGTGCACGATTACTACTTTAAAGGAATCCTTCCATGCTGAAAAACAAGTTATTTGGTTACCATAAATGCAACTGAATGGGAGGAATAACTGATAAGCTGACAAAGAATAACAGTGTCTAAAATAGCCCTTCTGTAGGCAAGAATATAGCATTCAAAATGTGACATTGCAAGACATTTCAGAGCTGAAATTAATTGTATTTCTGGGTTTTTTTAGTAGCAAGACCTTTAGATTTCATTCAGCAAGGCTATATTTTCAGGTCAGAGAAGGAGCACAGTAAAATTTGTTCCATAAGTTGTACACCTGGGAGAGAAGCTAAGAAGTGCTTCTTTAACAAATTACTTTGTATTACAGTATCTATAGTTTGAAGATACATGCAAGCTTTGTTTTGAGATTTTCAGATAAGCCCAGAAGCAGTAATCAGTGAAGGTATAATGTTCATAATGAATGTGTGATAAATACAGTTTGTCACGTAGATCTTTTACATAGACTTTATCCCCAAGTGTGTTCTGGGTATATTTAAGAGTATATTATGTTTAAAATGTGTGCATGTATGTGTGTTGCTTAGGGATTCTCCTGGATGAAAGTTGCTTATGTAAGTATAAATCACTGTTTTCCTTGCTTGATTTTAAAGCAGTAAATCCTTCCATTATTTCCTGGCTATCCAGACCTTATGACACAGTATGTCCTGTGCTGTCGTATGTGTGAGAAGGCTTTTTATGGGGAGCAATCAGGCTGGACCCCAATCTCCAGTGCAGTGTTTTTTTTCTAATTAAATTGTCAGTGGAAGGAATATCCGGAGCAGCAGTTTTCATTTTCAATCGAGGAAAAAACATTATGAGTCTTTGTCATTTGATTAAAAGTTACTTAACCTTTAAATTGCTACAGATGTAAAGATAGCTCTGAGTTTCCAATGTAATCGCCTCCAAGTTAAAATCAGGAAAATCTTTGTGTAATGAAACCCATATGTCATAGTGAAAGGATGCAAAGCACTGGCAGAGTGGGCTGCTCTAGCAGGAGATTCTGCACCCAATCTTGTTAACCAGGACTGCTTTTGGTAATCCCTCATCTCCTCACTTGTAGGAAATCAATCTGTACTACTGAATCTTTTCAACCAGCAACTACAAAATTTACTGTGGAGAGGCAGCTTGGGGACAATTGTAGTAAAAACGGAGCCTGAGGCAACAAGGCTAAATGTGGGATTGAGGGATTGAAGTTCTAAAGAGGAGATTATATTAAACCTTATTCTGCTCCCCTATCAAGTAGAAATGTCTCCTCCTCCTTACAGCCCCAGTCTTTCCTACCCAGTACCTGTTCTTGAGATCTGCTTGGCAGATCTTGCCAGGGAGCAAACTTAATTCCTACAGTACAGCATTCTCTGTTAATTATAATAGTCTGATACCGTTTTTCAGTAACTTGATCTGAAGGAGTTTATTTAAGCACTACTTCCAGAGCAACCAGTGCTGATATCAACTTAGTGGTTTTTTTCCTGGGGAGTTCAGTGTCTTCCTTCTCCTTAGTAGGTGAGGTTAATTTGTATCCGAGCTATTGCAAAGGTATCCATTGTTGATTTTTTTATTGTAGTAGATGCACAGCGTAGGCAAGGTTGTAAATCGTGACTTGTCATGCAGATTCATGCTTCTGTTTTGTGCTGTGAAGCCTCTGTAGTGTGTGTCTGCTGGTACAATGAAACCTGTGCTCAAACCCTCTCTTCCCTTGAAGTCCATGGTTTAAAGTACTATTGTAAAGAAAAAATCCCTGAGGTTTTCAATATAGTTTTGTCCAACCTTTTAATTAAAAAAATCCACCTCTGTCTACTATTCAAATGGCTTCTGCTGGTCCCTTGGGTAGTTGCATAAAGCTGTTTTTACCATCTCTCTTAGCCTGCAATCGTATTTGGAATGTGGGTGATGGTTTCTTCATTCACAAGCTCTTCCCTCACTCCAGCAAGCTCCATAAGACCCCAATGGAAATTATATTCCTATTATTAAGAATTCATTTCTCAGAAGCAATACTGAGCAGAGAAGTCAGTTTAATATTAGAGCCTTTTACTGTGCAAAATCCATCAAATCATACTCCAGCACAGATGAAAAAGAAACAAAGGTGAAGGAATAGCCAAGATGTTTGAACGCAGTACCATGTAATAAAAATTTGGCCTGTGTTTACCAGGAATACATTGAACTGTGGTTCTTGGGCAGATAAGGGAAGCAGCTGAAGCAGGGAAGACTGTTAATGCTTGTGGAAACTTGCCCTTAGTTTGGCTGTGTTTTTTCTGTCAAATGATGATGTTACTTCCTGGCCATTTTTATACATATACAAAGATAAAAGGTCCTTTTTTCTTTCTCACTTTGGCATCATATCTTTAAAAATAAAGCCCTGCTGCAAGCCTGAGTCTGTGAGGAGACAAGGAATACAGAATAGCAGAAGGCTGTCTCCTGCTCCTAATGGGATTTTGTAGCAGCATGTGCGAGTTTGTTTCAGAAGTCAGAAATGAACAGATGTTGGTATAAATTACCTCTGTGTCTGATGTCTTGCAAATTAAAAGCGCGGTTGGCATCACTAAACAATTTCACCAGGTTGGGGGGGGAAGCGGGTGGTGATTATTGTAGCAGGTCGGTAAGAATCTTTAAGCTGCAGCAGAACAGGATAGCAAGGATAAAGGAATGAAGAATAAAATGAGAGGTCTGTGAATTAATCAGAAATGTTAACATCTCCGATGACAAGTGAACAGGCAGGCACGTGCTCGGAGCAACCTCCAACCCACAGTAATTTCACTCGGCGCACAGAAGGAGTCTATGCTCTGCCTGATTTATAGGGTGCAGCCCTCTTTGGGGGAACAGAATTGTCAGGCATTCGTATATCTCCTGTATGGGACTTGCACTCTGGGAAACTTTCCACTTCATCAGCTACAGTTCAGCTTATGTGCTTTTCCTGTTAAGAGTGTTTTAAAACCATACACTATTGTTGGAGCAAGGCAGGGAGGTGTCAAAGAACTAAGTACTAAGAATCTCTTCCAAGCTGAAATTTTAAAAATCTTTCAGTTTTATTTAATCATGTTCTTTGTGCATAACAACTTAGTTCCTGACAAAATACCAATGCACTCTGTTCTTCTGCAGCACCTCCTATCCCTGTGTCACTTCAGCAGCACTTAAAACATACAGGTTGTCTTGGGGCTGGGGAGGTAGAGGTAGAAATGAGTACTTTTGTGGTAGTTCATGCTGTGACTCAGAAGCAGAATCCCAGGAGATATAACTCACAGCTGGAGGCATGAGGCAAGTAAATAGTGTGCAGTGATCTGCTTGAACCTGCAGCCAGTCTGAAGCATGTTCCACTCAGGACAGTGGACTTTGCAGCCTACAAGTATCAGTATGTAACAGACAGGTTATATACTCTTACATACAATTAATTGTTTTACAGGGATTTTGCTGATGAAACCACCACATTGTAAAATTTTGAGTAAACAAAATAGATTGTAATAATTCAAAGAAGAGGCTTTAAGACACGAATTGTAACTTTTATGTAAACAAATAACAAAATATCTTTATCTGAGTGCGCACTGAATTTGTAAGCTGAACATTTTTATTACATTTTAGCTCTGTTCTGACAGATAATCAATAATGTCAGAAGAAAACCCAACATCAACAAATTCACCTCCAGTTTTTATGCTAATTTTAATTTCTGATGTTTGTCTCAGTAGAGAAGTCAGGAATTGAATGGATAAAACAGAAAATTTATTCCTATCTCCTTCTATCTCCTTCTAGACTGTCTTTGAAGCTAGGTGTGGGAAACATGCATGCTTTCAACATAAAATAATAAAACCCTCCACATTTTGATGCCTTCCAGTCCAGGACAAAGCTTGCACCTTCATTGAAAATAAATGGAGGGTCAGCAGTGGGAAAATTGTCTTTCTCCAGGCCTCAATTGCTAATGGTTTTGTCTTTGATGCATTGTATTGTTATTGCAAGACAAGAGTAGTATGAGGGCTGCGCAGTCAGCTTGTGAGCTTATGGGTTCTCAAGTCAGAAATGTCTCATGCAGAAAAGTGGCTGTGTAAACCCTGCTACAGTACAGCTACCAGAGATTGATGGTACTGAGTGAGAGAGAGACATATAAGCCTTGCCTTGCTGTATTAAACATTGAAGGACTGACAACACAGAGAGAAAGAGAAGACCAAAGCTCTATAAACTTTACTTTATTACCCTATCCATAGATGAACTGCATTGAAGAATATAAACTCCATTATATTACAGCATCCAGGGATTGACACTGCTGAGAGAGAGAAAATGCTGCCTAATTTCTGTTGAAGACCACATCATCCAGGGACCAATAATCTTGAAACAGAGAGAGTTCCATAATCTCTGACAGATTATAACATACAGGAACAATTGTGCCAAGATAGAGTGATGGACATTTGGATTTCACTATTCAGAGATGGATAGTACAGAGAAAAAGAGGTGCTGCAAGAGCATAATGCAGTAGGAATAGAAAGCATAGATTGTATGTAATGAGACAGCCTGTAGGAATTATTGCTGGAGTTTAGAAGATTCCAGACCCTGCCTGCATTTGTAGCATGTCAGGAATTCAAGCTGAAGTGCAGTTTTATTTATTTTCCACTTTAATAGAGAAATAAAATCTTAGTTTTGGTACAGCACAAATCTAAATTAATTTCTTATTGATGGTTAGAATATGTTATACAATTATACAAATGATACAATTGTTAGAGTTTCTTGGCTTTTTTAAAAATATTAATTTCATTTTCCTCTCTTATGATTTCAGCTAGAGAAATGACTCGAGGGAAATTCCTGAACATCCTTGAGAAACCCAAGAAGTAGCTGCATCTAGCATTTGGATGAAAATATCCCAACTAGGTAATTTTTTGTACTGTGGATCCAGATGAAGCCCAGAAAGTCTAAGAAGAACAAAGCTCTTGCTCTAGACCTTCAGAAGCAACATCTCTTTTTGCTTCCACAGCTCATCTCTTTATGGAGGAAATGTACCATAAGCACAGTTCTCAAGGACTGCAGTTGGTTGCATTGGAATTTGGACTTCATCTGACCATAGGATGTCCAACAGGAGGACTTGGCCCTGACATGCTGTGACACAGCTACCTGTTTCAATCAGCAGCTCAAAGTGAACAGCCAGTGTCCTTACTCAGCTGCTCTCAGGAGGCAGCCTGTTTGAAGTACACAGCAGATCTGACACTGGCCCAGTGTCCATCATGAGGCCTTGACCCTTTTGTGTGTCTTTTGTCTTCAATGCATTGATTTCCTGTGTGTGACATCGGTGCCAAAGGATTCGAGGTGTGGATTGACCAAGAGCACTGGCTCAGCAGGAGCATATGCTTTTAGTGTAGCAGCTGAGTGCAGTCTCTGCATTAGGTTCCAGTTGCTCACTGCCTTTAGAGAAGCACCTCTGGTGCTCCGAGGAAGACCTCCAGACCTTTGGTGTGCCGGGAGCTTCATTTCACCGCTAAATGATTCTCTAAGTGAAATTGAAACTAACAGACCACAGGGAGTAAGAAGTGTGTCTCAGGGAAGATATCCTCACAGAAGCTTTGGCCAGTACACAAGGAAACAGCTTTGTCAGTCCTCTGCAATTCTTTGCTTCTTGCAGGGCAGAAACTGGAAAGAGTTATAAAGTGTAAAGATGGTAATGTTTTCAGTTATCACTCCAACAAGTGGCAACAGGACTGTTAGCCACATTGTGATGATGGCTGTACATGGTCTCAGCATCTATGAAAATAATGTTTTGTGGTATTTTTAATTGCTTATAAACCAGCACCTCAAAATCTTCTTCTCCTACAAAACCAGAATTTTTAAGATAGAAACTTCTCTGAGCTGCTCCCTTTCAGAACACTGTGATTACAGTTTAATGCCTTTTTCTTCTGTTCATGCACTCTTACACATTTCCCCCCTTGGAAGAGGTACAGAGCATGTTCAGACTTTTTGTTTTATTTAAGAGAATAATTTTTTTCATTCCATCCTCTTTCCTTTTCCTAGAAAACAACAGTTTAAACATTAGTAAATATATTCTTTTTTAGGATACAACATAAATACAATAAATATGTTGAAACATAACATAACATGATGTTATTTTTACCATGCAGGCTTTTCAAAACGTGTCATTTCTCAGGCTGTAGTCACATATGAGAGAAGAAATTATTTGGAAATAGTACATGTAACAGGCTGTCCTTACAGCAGTGCATTTTTCTGGCTTTGCAGGGAGAGGAGGCTCTTTCTGGGTGCATGTGCAATAAAGAGGGGAAGGTTGTTTGTTTTTTTAAATCAAATAGACTTCTGAGTTTTACTGAATTGATGGTGATTGCGGTCTGTGGTTTTGGTTATTGCCAGTCAGAACTAGGCTTGTTTGGGACAGCTCCAGTTAACTAAGTAGTTAAATCATACATCCTGGAAAGACCCTGCACAAATTTAGAAATATCAGGAGCCTGATTTAAGACTTAACAGAGTTATTTCTGTCCTTCACAGTTTATGCAGGGCTGAGCTTAACAGGAACTCCGTCCCTTGAGAACATGAGAATTAAGACAGATGAAAGAGAAGAGAAGCTGAAAGTGGTAGTTCAGAACAAAAAAAACCAGTGGTGCAAACTGATGTTGATGTAGCTTTAAGCATTGAATTACAGATTTGAAATGCAAATTTAAGTTTGTATATTATATATGTAATATATGTACACATATATGACATAATGGGATACTTCATCTGTATCACCAGTATTATTTTGTGCATTTTATAGAGGTTTCTTGGTCCAACACATTAAGGAATTGAGATCTAAAAGGAGGATGGATGAAAGCTTATCCTGGAAGTATATGTGTATTTTCTGATATGTGCAGTAGGAAATTTCAAACTCTAGGTACTTTTTTTTTTAGTTTAGTAACATACATATATTTTAAAAAAAAATCCTTTTATTATACACAGTAATCATCTTCTGTAGGGCAGCCATTAACATATGCTTTAGAATTGTAGTATTTTTTGGTTTTGTGCTTATCATATGTAGAGATGAGTCAATTATGTTATTTTTTTATTGGCAATATTTATATGTATTTTTGTGTGGTTTTTTGCTTTTTGGTTTAATAATATGCAATTGCAAACCTCAAAGCTTTGTCTGGGTTTCCAAAATAGGCCTCTGAGATGCAAAAGCTTTTGCTTGGCCACTTAGACAATATTATTCTTCAGGCTCTTCTTTACTTACCTGCATGACACCACCTCAGGGTTTAGCCTGTGGATATTCCATTCCCATCAGTAAATAAATATCTATCAATATCCAAATGCTACTAAGGGTTTTCATACCCCTTTGAACCCTATTTTTTCATTCAGTGCTATCTTTCCTGACATCCATGCAGTTATCTATCTACACAAGAAAATCCGAGTGACTTTTTGTTGCTGATGGGAATGAAGAGTTGTGATGGATTGGCATTTAGGAAAAAAGTCGGAAAACACCCACAGATGTGATGGCTCTGAGAGAGGCTGCTGGGAGTTCCTTCTCTGCCTGAGACCTGGCCAAAAGCTGGCCATTTCTGAGAATTGACAGTATTTTTGACCACTGAAAAAGTGGGATCACCTTTGTGAATGCCACCTTTTAAACCTAAGCCCTGGAGCTTCTGGCTGTCTTTGTTTCCGGCCTTGAAAGGTAACAGAACTCTGGTGCAGCTGCCCACCCCTTGGGGCCTGTCCAGCCTGGGGAGGGGGCTGAGCCGGACTCCAGCGGCTCCTGGGAGGGGGATGGAGGCTGCAGGGAATCGGCCCCAGGCTGGGCCAGGCTGTGCTGCGGTGCTGGCTTCTCCCGGGAAGCCTCCGGGTCCCATTCCTGCGGGGTGGCCAAAGCCCTTCCCAGGGGGACCCTGCACGGCTGTTGACACTCACCAACCCCCCCATGGGCCACACAGAAGGCTCTGAAGACTGTCTGCTCCTTCCCTGGGGCTGCTGGGCTGAGATACCTGAAATCTGACACCATGAATACCTGCTGCAGTTTGGGCCAGATTTTAATCCTTTCACTACCCAGATGAGACCTGCAGATTTAATCCCTTTCCAGAGAGAGCAAAGTGAGGGTGATCAACATGTAAAGAGACAACATAAACCATCAAAGTCAGTAAAGGAAAGAATCAAGCCTCAGATGGAAGGAGAATGAGGAGATGCTTTAATGAGCTGCAATATTCTTTTGGTAAGGCCACGGAGATGGACAATAATGTTCTGAAAAACTCCTTTAATTCATGAAAGAGTATTTGGGGGAAATGAAGTATTTCAAAGCTTAGATCTGAGCAAAGGTATCCATTGATGAAACTGAGCAGATAGCAGAGCAGTTGTGGTCCCATGAGATGCTGAAACAGAGAAAGAAAAGTGAGAGTTGATGAAGACCCTTGGCCCCCAGGGAGAAAAAGAGAAAACCTCTGTTCCCAGAGATGATCACAGAGACAGATGAAGAGAACCTTTGCCTTTGAATAACTCATCCTTAAAATAATACCTCTCGAGTTCATAGCCCTTGAACACACTTCTGAGTGGTGTAAAAATGGGAGGAGGGCATTATGGCAGAGTTTTTTTCTGGGCAGCTGCCATCATGGGAATGAAAAGCCATGAGAAAACTGTTTTCTTGTGGAGAACTCTCTATGGAATGACAAGAGAGAACTCTCTCTACAAAGACTGATGAAAAGACTATTGTATAGTTGGGACTGCTTTAACCACCAGGTTTTGTCTCTCTGTTGTCAGTTGGACAAGGGAAAGGTTGGGTGGTGGGGAGGAAGAGTTTCTGCAGGTTTTATTGTTGTTTCTTATTCTTGTAGTTCTGTTAATAAACTTTCTTCATTCCTTTTAAATTTTGAGCCTGTTTTGCCCTTCTCCTAATCCATATCTCACAGCAATAAATTAGTAAGCTTTTTGGTGATTTTTAGCTAGTGCTTTAAAACCACCACAAGAGTGTAAGAAAATCAGGATTTGGTAATATTAATCAAGCTGATGCATTGTTTTATAAAGTGTTTTCATATATTGCTATATTAGATGTTGCTGTGAGTTTCTTGGAAGTAAACTCAGTATGTATTTGGTTCCTTTTAAATGCCAATATTACACACATTCAGTTATAAAGGCTATTCACTTCAGTCTTGGACTATCAAATGCTTTGCTATCTAATCCAACTGAGAAGAAGTTCTTGTTTGTTATGTTAATCATTATCAAAATAAAAGTCTATGTGCACTGGCAATTGAATAATGTGATATTCCATTTAACTCAGTGTTTTGCCATTACAAAATCAACAATTTTGTAACAGTCCTGTAACTCACAGTTCTCAACTTTAATTAATACTACCTTCAAAAAGACACCTAGAAATGACAAACTAGTGAAAATTGACTGATCTGTCTTGGAGGTAATGTTTTAACCTTATTCTGGTTTTAGTGATTTTTATGTTATGTAAAAATGTAAGGTGCTATTACAAGTCAAATCACAAGCCAGTCTTATCTGTAATCTTCTCTTTGCTTATAAACAGTTGTAGAAGGATAGGGAAAGATATAAACAAAAGGCTTACACAGTGATTTTGCATTAGGGTAACTTACACAGCATCCAGCAATCTGTTTTAGTTGAATCTGGTCCACAGTAGATCCTACCCTCCATAAATTTATATTAGTCTTAATTTGTTTGTACTTCTGACCTGAAAAATACCCCAGGATAGTGAATTCCATAACTCAGTTATACAAAGAAAGGTTAAAAAAAAAAAAAAAAACAAAAAAAGCTGGGGGGGAAGTTGTTTAAAATCTGTTTACCTGATTATTCTGTTTTGAACCTTTCTTTTATTGTCAGGAACAGTTGTTTGGATTTTTTTTCTTCTTTGCCATCTGTGCACTACTCATGGTTTTTCAGGTTCTACTGTGTTTTTTTCTGTGGTTATGTTCACCTTTTTTGTGTTCACAATGTTCAGTGGTCTGTCTTCTATTACAGCCTGAGCTGGCATAATCAAAATCGCAGAGTACTGTTGGTGCAAGCATACTGTGAAGCGTGTACGTCCTAATTGCAGCTCGTATTTTGTTACTCTGCTGTTTTGTTTCACAGCATCGGGGCCTAAATCCTGTTTTGAGTATCTCTGAGAACAGGATCATCAGCTAGATTTGCAGCTGATCTCATCCACTCCACCTACAGTAACTAGTGCTGGGCAAACAGCGATTTTTCCAAATCACAATGGTGATGCCAACCATTCCGTGCTGATGGATTGACAGCTGGCAATTCCACCGTCAGCCTATGCAGTATGTGAAAAAGGTAAATTTCATCTTTGTCACACAGTCTGAAATCCTGGCCTCCTGGCCTCCCACAAGTTCAGCAACTTCTCATGAATGTTTCTATAGTACTTCTAAACTAATATAAATTTTTAGATATAATCAAAAGAAAAAGACAACTTGCAAATTACCATTGCAGAAAGTCCACATTGATGAATACGCTCCCCTAGAACCAATGGCCATTCAGAAACACCAGAGATACAATCTGTGGTGTAGCACTTCAAGCATCCTCACACTTCTCAGGCAACAAGGGTGCTTGTAGTGGGAAAATGTGTCACATCTTTGAGTGAACTATCTGAACATGGTATACAAACTTGATGTTGTACCCCCATCTTCATATGTCAGTCTGTACTGACACTTTTGAAGATGATAATTCATTGAAAGACAATTTTCTAGAAGGTTGTCTCTGTATCTTCAGCCCAGGAAAATTACAGTTGGACAGAAAGTTTGCATACAGCAACAACTCTGAGCTGGATAAAAATGATTGGAAGAACAATTACAAATGTTGTAAACACACTGCGGTTATCACTATAGCAAAACCTTCCCACCACAGAAATACCAAAGTCCACACCCACTTGCTATTTGCACATCCCAGCACATACATCAGCCAGGATGCTGGATATGTCCAAAAGGTACTGCATGTGTGATGCCAAATATATATTGCCCTGATAAGAGGTGCACTTCGGTATTTTTAGAAGGCAAGAAAAGAGAAAAAAAAATCAAAAAAGAGAGACAAAGAAAATTGAGGAAAAGGAAATGAAAAAACTGTATCCTTTTGGTTTTACATAATGCTGTGCTTCTTGGAATCACACCTATTCTAGAGACATGTTATTTCTGCAAGCCAGTCTTTCCATTAAGTGCTTCTGAGTTTCTTTCAGGAGGATGTGAAATGCAATACTTTGAACTCAAATCATTGTGGCCAACCATAAAGTCCACATAAAGATAGTTAAAAGGTTAAGTAGCCAGAGATCCAGACTGATTCAGGTGTTACAAAGTGTAGTCCACATTCTGCATAGATTATGTGCAACAATGCCAGTTTCATTTAGATTGTGCTAGATTTTCAGCATGGCAGGCTCCCTTCACATCTTGACTTCATCATCCACTGAAACTGCTGGTTTTTTAGACTTGACCTTTTCTGTCGTGTCTCTTTGAGGAGGATGACTGACTCCAGGCAGCTGATGAGTGTACAGAATAGGCGTTTTCTTGTTGGGTTTGTGTGGTTGACCTCTGCCCTGCCTGCTGATTCCTATAATACAGATCAGTGACCAGTGAAGCCAGAATGCTCCCTGCCTGTCTCTGTTATAGACACCTCAGTAAGGAACAGAAAAGAGGAAGAGGGCTGAGCTTGAAAGCCCTTACTTAATTGCTAGTAGAAAAAATGGGTAATAAGAATGACCTTGCACCTTATTTATTGACCAGATCTCTGTGAGGACAAAGTACTTGACTTGGTTCTGTATCACTTGAAAGGCTGGCTCTGTGGCCCATAGCTGATGAGTAGGCGTAATAATATAGGGTAATTAAATTTTGTGCTTGCAGACACTTACATGAGGGAGGATTTCCCTCTCAAAAATAGCAGGCTCCATTTTCTTCATAATCACAGAATGTTAAACTAAATCTGAAGCAGCAGAAATTTTCCATTTGCCATCTTCCACTTACTAAGATGGCCCAAAATGCAGCAGGCTCTGTATGGAAAGGTAGGAAGAGAGCTCACCAGCTACATGAGAATGAGGGACAAGAGACCAGCAGAGCAACCCAGATGGGCACAGATGCTCAGGCTGCCTGGTTTTGTGGCCTTCAGTTTGTTTTCCTCCCTCTGTATTAAAGTAAGTTTTTAGTTATAGCTAATTTATATATATATATGTGTGTATATGTATGTATATATGTGTATTGATTATCCCAAATTGCCTTTCACAGAAAGCAATGGCGCCTGTCTTTCTCTTGTACTCTGCATGGATCAGCCTGTCACCCTGTCTTAGGTTTTTCCCTCTGCTCTGCTCGCTGAAGCCAAATAGCACATGTGAAAACGGGACAAATTGCTTCTGTTGAGGCCTGTTGTGGGAGGAATCAGGGTGAGCCCGGATTTGCAGAAGGGATCAGTTTGTAATCAGCTGCACAGGAGGCAAATGGATCTGCAGGCCACCAGTACCCTTAACAGGATCAGCTGTGTTATTTTGCTCAATATGAGCTTGTAATCAAAAATTAGGGAAAATGTTTTGCTGAAAAATATTTGGTTGATGATGGTTTCTGAAGAAAGTGTCACGTTGAAAATTAGAGGGATTACATGTCTGTCTTTGCCTTGTGTTAATAAGAGAGCTTGAGCTGGCATCTCCTACCCACCTCACAACTCACACTTTTAATAATTTTGTGATAATCTTTAGCAACCTGTCCTGTGAGACCCAGCACATGTTCCTTTACATGAGAACTGATAGGATCGTGTTTACACACATGCTCCTTCCCAGCCTGAACTCTGGGGCAGACTCATGGCAAGGCCTCACTGGAGAAGAGCCCATGCCAGGTGCAGCATTTCTCTGAGGGCAGCTCACAGAAAGCGTTAGCAGAGACTCGAGGCAGATCTTTACATTCAGACATTTGGTTTTGATGGCGCATTTCTGAGTGGAAGCGCGAGTACCTGTGTACCTACTGCTGAAGATGACAGAGGATAAGACAGCCTAGAGAGTTGAAATCAGGTTTCCACCGTGCGGATGGATGGTGGAGATGGAGAAAGGATGGAGAAGGCCCATGTCCCCAGCACATGGCTGATGCCAGCTACTGGCCCTGTGCCATGTAGCTGGGCCCCAGTGCCTGGATTGCTTTTCTGGCTCTTTCTGCCTGTCCCCCTTCTCCTGCCGGTGCCCGAGAGGCGGCTCCCTGTCCGTCTGCGGCACAGGGAGCGCTGGCTGCCGCTCGTTAGAAGAATTCCCCCAAGTCAGACCTATGGTACGAGCCGTGTGAAGCGGAAGACAATTAGGGGCTTATTAGTGTCCTGGGGAGACGTGTAACTTGTGTTGCTGGGACTTACCAAAACAGCGAGAGTCTTACCGGCAAGCTCCAGCCGAGAAAAGACTGAGGGATTGTCTCACCTAATTACAGGGAATGGGCCTCTTTGTGTTTGTGATTCGGTACGGTTGTCCGATCGCTTTTCTCTGGCTGCTGGCTCAGGCCGAGCTGGAAGTGTGCTAATTAGAAGAGAAATGGACGTAGTGATCCTGTCAGCTCTCGTTACCGGCGTGGACAAAGCCGAATATTATTCTGAGGCAGTGTTTTGTGAGTGTCCCTCTTCCAGCTCTCATTAAGGGCAAGGTTGGTGGACGGAGAGGGGACTTGACCACATGGGTTGGCTAATGGAGCACAGTTACCGTTACTGTGCTAATTAACGGGCTCAGGAGGCAAATGTTTCTCCAACCAGCGGTCCCAGCAGCTGCACCTGGTGCTTCCAAAACCAAACCATCTCGCTGGGCCAGCCAGGCAAACACTGTGTGTACAGGCAGAAAGGGGGTTATGTATGATGCATCCATCAGCCATCCAAAAGTGCAGAACCAGTAAAAGGGTTATCAGAGAGATGGAAAGGACATAGTGCTGCAGTAGCAGCAGGTCAAGCTCCAGCAGTCCCTTTTCAGTGACCCTTCACACAGAGGACAATGTGTCAGCTTTTGGCCCTGCAAAGTGGGTAGCAAGGAGAGAGCTGAGGAATTACTAGGACCTCCAGGTGCCACCAAGAAAGAAATCTCCTGTGAGTTGTTATGCTCATCACAGCTCTCAGCGTGACCAGGAAGGGGAAAGCTGGAAAGATGAGAGGTGACATGGAAGTGAATCAGACTATCCCTCTCTGTGTTGAAGATGGGATACTTACGGTCTGAGGTGAAAAGCAAGATGTACGTACATACCAGGATGATTGTTTTGCTCCAAAAGGCAATTAGGCAACATTGAAATGAGGTACAAAAGTTAATGCAGGTGAAGATGCTGACCAAAGGAGCCACAGAAAATACTAAAACAAAAATGTGTGCTTTTGTCCCATTAGCCTGGAACTACTACAGTGAGAGTAAAGAGAATGACAGCAGATAGTGACCTACTACAGAGGGAGAAGACAAAGCAGGAGCCAGAGCAGGTCTGCAGTGTCACAGCAGCTGAGATGGCCTCAGCAGAAGGGAACAATAGTGTGTGATGAGGAGGCTCAATGGAAGTAAGTAGTTTTATTAACTTGTCACACAGGCTTTCATTTTAATACATAGGTGTTTTGTAAACAGAGTAACTTGCACAAGTTAATTGCTGGTTGATGTTTCCAAAGTTATGGGCATGTATTAGTGATTAAGTCTGATCTAGATGTTATGATCATTCTAGAGGTCCTTTGTATCTTTGGGCTAAATGTAGTAAAACATATAACCATGTCTTAAACCTTTTGATTTGCTTTATCTCTTTAAGAAATGCACTCAGGCAACAGTATTTGGCTACTGTTTTCAGACATCCTTTGTAAAGCGTTAAAGTTGCAAGAGGTTCCCTCTTTAGTTTCTTGGGTTATTTTTCCCTGGTCATGAAGCTGTTCCAGCAGGAGGGTTTATGTCCTTCTAAGTCTCCAGCAACAGTCTCCTGTCATCTTGGATGGAGCTTGAACTCTGCCTTGTGCTTGTGCTTCCTTATTTTTTCTGTCTCCAATAGCTGTGAACCAAACAAGGATCCTTTTGCCATGGCAGCATGTACCCTTGTGTCCAAGCCGTGCAGTCCTGCAGAGCTGTAAAAGCCTTTCCCTTTTAACTGGGCTTCATTTCCTACTGGCTGCTGTGATGGCTTGAATCTTAGGAGTCTTGATCTTAGGAGCCTGATCTCCAAAGAGGGCTTGAGAAGTATCTTCTCTGCAAAGAGGTTTATTCTAGAAGGAGGAGATGTATAATCCTCTTACTAAAACCCAGGAAGGAGAAAAGCTTTATTGCTCCTGCCTTACCCCAGTGAACTGGCAGCTTTTATGCTGCCTCACAAATGGAAAGAGGCAAAGGTCTGAGTATGAGCACTCTACCTGAGCTGAGGCTTTCTCGTGGATGCTCAGTGAAACCCACATCTGCACTGCTTTTCAGTGTCACAGCAGAACAGTTTCTGAAAAGGAAAAACAACTGCCTGTTACACTGTGTGGCCACTTCAGTCTTGGTCTAAGGAAGAGTCACAAATCACTGGCAGAAAACTAAGGACCATCACACCCATCTTGATTTTTGTGTCATGGAAGCTCAGCAGTTGAGTTTTTCCTTGTGTAAAGGTTGTGACAGTTCCATGTCAGGCCTACCTCAAGAGATTGGGCTTTAATGGCAGATATCAGGAGAAAAGACTCTACTGCTGGTTTTGCCAATTTATCTGTGTTTCTTTGCTGAAGGAGGTACTGGTGTCCCTGCTTGTAACACCTCAATTTGACTGGCCTGTCATCTTGCTGTATGGATAATATCATGTCAAATTTCTGACTTCAAAATGCAAATAAGGATCCACCAAGCATAAAAAAAGTGTTGGTTTTGTGTCCTTGTGAGGAGGGCATTCTGATAAAGAACATCCATCATACAGATAAGCAGTACTCAAGAACATTGTGAAGACAGGTGAAAATGTGCAGGCAGAGGGTAAAGGGTGCAATGGCTTCTTGTGGCCTTCAACAAGACCTCCTGGCATTCATGCAGCACTCACTAGTTGTAGGGTACCTGGCCCGTGGGCTGGAGTGGTGTTTGGAGGACATCTCTTCAGCAGTTTGAGTTCTCCAGTGCACTGCTGAAGTCATTTAATTCATGGTGACCTCAGCAAGTATCAAAACTCTGTTGTGCTGTGCATCACGGAAACACATAATTGGGTGAATGTTGCTGTCCTCAAGAGATTATAAGAAGATGAAACAGTAAAAGGATGGGAGAAGAAAAGGAAATGTCAAGATGTAAAGAGTCTTGTTAGAGGTTATCCAGCACAGTTCAAACCCTGTAACTTCTTAGCCACAGTTGAGTGGCCCTTACACTGCTTCCCATCTGCTCATTTGTCTTGCATCTATTGTTTTCTTAAGTAGATGTAGGTTTTAAAGTAAAGAAATAAATAAAACCCCAACTGCCTAAACAACCATCAGGCATAAGAAATTTCAGTAACAGTAAATTACAGTGCAATACCGGACATTTTAATCTTTTTTTCAACACCTGTAAGAACTATTCTATGAATTTAATTTTTGAGTGACTTTATGCAGTGTTAAAGATTTGAGAATTTAAAAACAGAACTCTAAAAACAAAGTTTTCTCACAGCACTGTTAACTGCCACAGTGTGCATGGTGTACACACATATTTAGGAGGAAGCTATGAGCATTACAGAGACCCTACAAATAATTATAATATCTTCACTGATGTAGAACACTTATCTGACCTTGCTGAGCCTCTTACACTCAGGCACAGAGTAAGTGCTACTTTGCAGATTTCAGGTAATTCTACACTTGCTAGGTCCAAATGTTTGCCAACAAACCAAGGCAGGAAAAGTGTAATTTTCCTAATTTTGCCATGTTGTGCTATTGCTCTGATGATCTTATGGTGGGTCTTATCCTGCCTTCCCACAGAACATTATTAAAATGATCACTGCAGTTCTCTAGGGAGCTTAAAACTATTTTCTCCAGCAAAAGAGAGATCATTTCTCTCATTCACTTCAATAATTTGGAGAGGAAGGAATTTGCTGAATAGATATTAGTGTACCGCATTTGTGTATGCATCTGGGTAAGGTTTACAGGAATTTTACTAGCTAGTGTCAAAATACTATTAGCAAGTATTTTTGGTGGCAGAGGACTGTGGAAATAAAGTGATATGGAAGAATGAAAGAAAAATACAGGTAAGTGAGAAGAATTAGGAACTTAAGAGGACAGGAGACCAAGATAGGTAAAAAAGTACATAAAAAAAAAAAGGAAAGACAGCAAGACATGGAGCAAATGCAAAGGAGTGAAGGAGGCAGACTGTTATAAATGCAGTATAAGAAGAAAAACAATGAAAAAATCAAAACACAGGGGAAGAAAATAGGAAGAGGTAGTGGTTTTCAGCAAGAAGGAGGTCAGAGAAAAGCAGAAATTTAATGAACAGTCGTACCAGCCAAGGAAGTGTGGTTTTCCTTGTGGATGTGTCTCCCAAGACTGTATCATGTGTGGATTCCCTGATGCCTTACAGGATGTATGCTCACACTTCAGTGAGGGCAGTCACTAGATTTCTTTCTTAGCCAATTGAAGTAATAAAATATACAGAAACATACATAAATGCATTGCCTACCTGGAAAGCTGTCTGAAATTAGCCTACAGGTTCAGAAGTCATTGGGACACCCATGTACACCTGTACATGGATGGATGCTAAGATTAGATGATTAATAGCTGAAATTGCAAATGGACAATGAGTGAGTGATAGAGAATGGGAAAACATTAGGAAAATGGGGATTTATATCTTCTGTTAATGGATTTAATTTGCTTTACTACCATTTCGTTTCCTGGTTTTACAGTTTCTAAAAAATGAACAAGGATCTGTTTAAAGCCCTCCTCCCACATCAGGCTGACTTCACAGTATCCACACTGGCTGTTTCTGGGGAGAAAAATCTCTTACAGAAGTTTTGTCTCCAGCATGCAACAAAGGAGATTCCAGGAGCTGTCCTACCAGCTGCACCATCAAAACCTGCCTGGGACCTCACTGAAAGCAGAAGTGGGACAAAGATCCTGAAAACTCTTCTGGTCTTTCCATACTGGGGTGAATTGCAGCTTTATTATTCAAACACTTTAGCTGTTTTTCTGCTGTGCTACACAGCTAATTCCTATCCCATTGGTTCTTGCTGCAGTTATTCTCAGCTGGTGTTTTCTAGGCACCTTCTCGTGACTGTATACTGTGGTTTGGACAATATTTGTATTTTTACTGGCCTGCCATTTTATTTTCAGCTGCTCTATCCCTTGTGTCCATCTATATTTCACTCTCTTTACAAAATTTCCTGATTTTCAGGCAGAGGGTGTCATGTCAAGAGGTGTTAAATAGGACAGAGCTGACTGCTGATCTCTGGGAGGGAGATCTCTCCCTCTAACACAATACCTTTTAATGCATCATTATCCTTTATTTGTGGGTCTCCAGCCAATTTTTCATTCCATCTAGTGGTGTAGCCAAACCCATTTGCATTAATTTTGAGTAGGATTTATGTATCAAATCTTTACTAAAATCCAAATGTATCAAATCCATCGTGTTCCCATCATCCACTAATTTTGTAATTCTATTTTAAAAAGCAATCAGGTTTCTCCAGCACAATTTGTTCTTTAGAAATCCCTAGTACAAATGTTTGTTTTCTTATCTCTGGATGGTTAGCAATTTTTTCCCCATTTTTAAAAAATGCTATTATTTTACTGGCTATAGATATTCCTGGGAGCTCCAAATTTGCTTCCTTTTTGTTTTGTTTTAATGATAAATAGCACAATTCCTTTTCCCTGAGCAGCCTCCTAGTTTTTGTAACTTAACAAAATTATCATCCATAACAAAAAAGTAACATTTGTCATTTTCCTTGCAGAAGTGGATAGATGTCTCTTTTGTCCTGAAAACTTGAGTGTACAGGCAAGGTGTTCTATAGCTGATGAGCCAAATGTGCTGTCAGTGGAACAAACATGTGGAAATCATTGACTTCTTAACTGAATCCAGTCAGGCTTTTTGCCTGGTAATATCCATTCTGGTCAATTGTTATTGCCTACTGAAGAAATATCAGGAGGGCATTTGTACATGATTTTATTATAATGTTCATAAAAGTCTTAAACTAAGGGGAAATAAAAATAGCATCCAAATAAGGTACATCCATATTTGTATACAAGCGTAAGCTATAAGTATTATTGAGGGAAGCTAACAAAAAGAATATGTTATTATCAGAACAGTAAATTAATTTTGTCTCAACACTGGATTGAAGACTGGTCATCAAAATAATGCCTAAATAGTCAGCCCCTATAAATTCTGAGAAGCTATTTTGAAAAATTCCAACATTTAATGGAAAATTTAATCTAAAATTCCTACAGAAATAATGGGAACAATGCTAGCACAAACATCAGGCATTCAACATTTATTCATCAGCAAAATAAAAATACATTTGGGCTAATGATAAATTTCACAATTTCTGTTCCTTCTGCTAACCTAAAATGAGATAAATGATCTTATTTTTCTTGCAAACAAGATAATTACAGTAACCCTCTTACCCCTGAGCAAGACAATCGATCAGGCATCTTCTCTTCTGAAACCCAGAAACTGATAGAGAATAGTTACTTAACAGTTCTTTAAGGTGAAAGATGTTTGAAATTATATAAAAAGTGTGTGCATCTCTGTACAGTCTTCGGCTAACTGGCTTCTCAGGCACATGAAGTTAAGTATGTGGATCAGAAATCTGTGCATCATGTACTGCATTTGGGTTGGAACTTTGGAACTTTGATCCTGAGGTGTCATTTAAGCTTCAAATACAAGCTGGTTTTCTGGTGATTGGAAGCTATGTCACTTACACAGGCAGCACCAGAAAAATAACCTTCTTTGGTCTTCAGAACTGGAGGTTGACCTGCTTGGTGTCAACATGGGCCATGGATATTTGTTTGTTTTTGAAGCTGTTTAGCAAGATCTTGACTTAAAATTCAGCCTTCTAATTGTTTTGGGAGAGCTGTCATCCAGCCTTGCAGAGTAGGTGCCAATACAGATGTAGAAACACAGGTATATACATAGCAGTTATGACATGGATTTTAAAGCAACATTTCATCAAGCTTCTGTTGTTTGCATCATAATTTTGAGCTACTTCACACAGGCTCTGGGTATGTGGAAAAAAAAATGTTTCTGGAGCGAGGCTCAATAGAAAGAACTTATTTTTGGTGGCCACTCCCTCCATATGTTGCAGAAGAAATTCTTAGGTACGAAAAAAAGCTGGAAATATTTCAGAAAAATCAGGGCTAAGCAGCTCTCCCTCCTGCCATTCCTACTCCTCAGGGTCAGAACACTCCTCTCAGCCTGTTGTATTATCTCATGCTGCAGAGGTACCCAAATCAGCAGGTCACTCTTTTAGAAGCCACTGATTACAGATGGTGGTGTGGTCAGATTCAGACACAGCTTCAGCTGCAAGTGCAATTATGAAGTAGGCCATTGTGGCTGGACACGTGGTGCAGTGATCTTGGTGCTGAACAACTGCTTATATATGCCAGATCAGAAAAGAACAGATGTAGTCAAGAACATCTTTGTGTTTTACATCTACTGCTCTTCCTCCTTGAAATGGCCTGAGCTAAGTCCAAAGAGGAAAGCAGCAGAAAGGCTATCACAGGAGCAAGTTGTGTCGCCATCTGAGCACAGTTCTCATCCAGTGACACAAATGACTGCTTCAGCATCTTGTGCTGGCCCAGGTGTCAGCAATGGCATCCTTGCCACTGCTCAGGTAATCATCTTTCTGAAACACTCCAACCTGTTCAAAGTCCATAGTGCCTTCCAAAATGGTAGTCTTGCCTCTCTCGGACACACAATTTGCTGAGACCTCCTCTTTTATGGATTCCCAAGAACCAATTCCAAAGCCAAAACTTTTGAAATAAAAAGTAAATTAAATGCAAATGGATTACCCTGTCATTGATCACAACAAGTTTCCATTCTGCTAACTTACTTGAAAGCTTATGTCTAGTTTGTGTAGGGATTACTTGCACTTTTGGTACTGTAAAACAAACTACTGGTATTACACACTTTTCCAAAAAAACTTTTTTTTTCTCCAGCATCCACAGACTTAGTATGAAAGGAGTTTACCTAAATTTAATGTAATTCTGAACGTCCGAGTGACCTGTATCTAAATACCAACAGCTTGTTATATACCAATAACCAGTCTGCCTGGCTGAAATTACATCAGCCTAAATCACAATATGCTGTTGTAGGATGGATTTCTCTGAGGAAACACCTCTCAAATAAATGATCCTATGCTATCCTGATTCTTACATCAGTATGACAATCCTACTTAGCACTCCCTCAAAGATCATATCTGTTGCTGCTTACCCAGAGCTTTAGAGCTGTGTAAGATTTCCTGCTACTAGAACTAACCTACTTAGACCGGACTCAGAAATTTCCTTATAGGCAGAAGGAGCTCCTGACTCAGTCACCACAGAATCATGAACATTGGAAAAGACCTCTAAGACTGAATCCAAACATTAAGATAGCTCTGACAGGTCTACCACCATATCCCAAAGCACCACATCTACATGCTTTTGGAACACTTCCAGGCATGGTGAGTGGGACTTCTGGCTTCCAGATATTTATTAGGAATTCAGGCAAATGTTCAGTATCAAAAAGGAAGTTTTCTTAAAGCTGAGACCTCAGAAGAGCCATGGACCCTATGAAACATTCCTTCTTCTGAAAGGAACTCAGCATGACAGTGTGGCATTTGGTGGGTAAGGCTTTCTACAGCAAGAGAGAGCTCTAGAATTTAGTGAGTTAAAACATGCAGAATGCACTTTTCCTATCTGGATCTACCTCAGATGTCCTTTGAATGGGGGCAACCACTTAATCTACCTCTGTCCTAGCACTCCATCTGTAAGCTGATGATAACATTATGTGAGCTCATAGAAAATGTATATGGTTAAATGTTTCCCTGTTTATGAGATTCTTTCATCACTGTTGATGAAATCTGTGTCAACACAGAAAAGAAGAAGGAATTCATGAGGAGGTGACCCAGTGCTGTGCCTAATGCTTAATATTATTGCACCAATGTATAGTCTTTGTATTTACACTACAAGGCAACAGCCTTGTAATAGTCAGGATGAGAAATGGCCAAGGTTTAGCCAATTTCAACAGTGGATTTAGAGAGAAAGAGGAAACTACCTGTCTGGGCTCCTCTGAACAACTCCTCTCTCAGGTTCTAAATGATAAATGCCAGTATAAAAGTTGTTGGGGTGTTCTCCTCTCAAATGCAACTTAAATTATGGACACCTTCTCCTGAAAGAGACAGACATGGGAAAGGTTCTAAGCAAGTGAGCAAAATTTATTTGTCACATGGGTCCATTTGGCCTCCATACCATGAATCATCACCCAGTCTGGGTGTGTTTAGGGTAGAAAGAAGGAACAACAAATGGGAGAAGGGTATTAAATAATGATTGCCATAGAGACCAGTCAGCTTTACCTAACTGCGTGAAATTTAAACAAGAGAGCTTGAAAATGAAACATCAGTACATTTCAAAGGGAGAAAGTTAGCTGTGGAATGTAACAACAGAGTATCAAAGCAAGTTGTTTAGTCAAGTTTCTGAAAGCCACTGTCAGCAATATGCAGATGAGACACCTGCATTTTTCATCCATTCTGATCACACCAAAAATGTGAGGATGGCATAGCACTTTCAGAGGAGCCAGAGGCAGAAATAAGACAAAAATAAGGCAGAGGAATGATGCCAATGTGTGAAGTGTCTGAGAAGGCTTCAGTTGCCATGCAGCTTCTGCTGGCTGAAGAGGCCCAGTGGTCAGGTCAAACTGTGATTTATGATGATTTTTTAGATTCTTCTCCAGACTTCCATATGCTCACAGAAGAGCTGCCTGCAACTTTTCCAGGAGATCCCATTCCTTCAGTTTCTGTTATCCAAGCCTTCATTGCCCATAGCAGTATGCCTTGCAATATGCCTTGGTACGAATGCAGCCTGTGTCTGCCTGGACAGTCCAGCTGTTACTGTGCCCTGTAGTCATTCTGCTCACCAGCATGGCTTACTTCTCATTCCTTCCCCTCAGCCCCTTTCTCTATTGTCTTACCACTGAATCCTGATCCAAGCTTACTAACCAGGTATTACATCCATGATGCCTGGGGCAAGATTTCCTGAAGATGAGATGGAGTTTAAGGGTGGTGAGCCCTCCCACAGCAACAAGAAGCCATCACAAACATTTGTGAACTTTCAAGTAGATTTCTCTGGCCACATCCTCTGTCCTCTCTGAGACAGCAGCCTTTTAAAAAGGCATCCTCTGCCCCTCTCCTCAGCATGGCCAGGAGCATCCCAGATCTCTGAGCTGCAAATCCCCCAGAAGAGTAGCCATAAGGCCAGACCTCTGGTAGTCATCTTCAGGTAACCTGCTTTGTGCTTGTTAAAAATGGTGAAGACTGTTTTATGGTCAAGGCCTAGGGTGTAAGGCTCAAAAAACTGGATCCAGCTTAGATTTTCAATGTAACCTTGGCTGTGTTATTTAGCCTCTCTCTGTGCAAGGATTCCGCCAGTTCTAGAAAGGTACAATATGGATACATTTGTAAATCCAGAGGACATACCTGAAATCTCCATTTGAAGCAAATCAATAGGATGTTAGGTAAACAGCTCTCTTGCTGTCCTGTGATTTGCATGCAGTAAAGAGCAACTGAGAAGTCTTACTGAAAAAATATTCCCTTTTTTTCACTCAGGAGTTGTATGATGTAAACGTGAAGTGAATTATGATGTCTTGCAGTACAGCGAGCATGGGTGGGGGACTGCCGGCTCATCCTACAAGGAACTGCAGCCTTGGGAGCCCTCATCCCAGGCACGTCTCTCTCCCCTTCTGCCTGCACGCTTGGCATTGTGTCCTTGATCTCCCAGCCCATCACCAACCTCCAAACTCCTCTCCTCCTGCTAAATCACCACAGGGAGCCCTCCTGCCCTGCTGCATCCCCTCTGGGGGTGTTTGTCCCCCCGACGCCCTGTGGCCGTGGCCCCCAGCACCCCATCTCCCACAGGGCAGCCTCACTTGTCCCCACCCTGGGCCGCCCAGGTGAGTGGGCGGCAAGCGGGCACCGGAGGGGGGCTGCACATCACCTGACCCCCTCCAGCTGATTCCCTCAGACAGGACGTCAAGTTAATGAGCCCTCAGGCCTGTAATTAGCTGTCAATTACCTCAAATTAATCAACTCCTCGCCTAATTAAGCATAATCGGCAGGTGGGCAGAAAACGGGCCATTGTGCGGAAGCCATGAGAAAAGCATGGCTGGCAAACTTGTTTAGGATCAGCGGCGCATTCCCGGACGCCGCGCCACCGACACCCGGGCGCCCCGGGCCCGGCTCCG